CTGTGATCCACCTGCAGGTGGAGACGGGCACGTGCAGCTGGGAGAGCTTGTCCTGCAGCAGAGCCGGGATGATGGTGTTGAAGGCGGCGCTAAAGACCACAAACAGGATCCTGACGTAGGTTCCTGCTGTGTCCAGGTGCTGGAGGAGGAAGTGAAGTGATAACTATTAGTAAACCATAATGATGGATGTTATTATCAGCAGCTGCCAATAGATCCCCTACATCTTGTATGGTGGACCTTTGAAGCAGGGTTACACAAAACACACACACACAAAATTGTAAAACAGTTATTGAGAGCATCCCAAGGGCATTGATCCTATGCTAAACCTTCCAGAACACCAACTTTCTAATACCTTAGAAACGACAACTAGCCGTTGGCACGAATGTAATGCTTCAGCTTCCTACAACTTTAAAGCTGTGTGGACGTGGCTCTATGAAGAGTCGTTCATATTTTCTCATTATTTCATAAGTTTAGAAGGGGTAACAACAGTTACCTTTTGTTAATTTTACCTCGAGCCAAACTTGTGCGACTTGTTTCTGAAATCCCTTTCTCTTAAAGTGAATACATAAAATAAAATAAAAAAACAGTGGAGCTTACCCTAAAACTAACCACTGGATAGGGTTAACCCTAACCCATATATATTTTTGTATTATTTATTATTTTTTTAAATATATAGCACCAAATTGCAACTAATCTATATCTACGGTCACTTTTCACATTGAACATGAGCTCTTTTATTAAATAAACTTAACGCTTTCATTTTAAGTTGAGTTTAGTGTTTTTGACCCTAAGAAACACTGATGCATTAATCAATAACAATAATCCACAGCTCCTCCCTCTGCTCCAGAGGATTTAAAGAATATATTAGGGATCGACCGATATGGCTTTTTCAAGGCCGATACCGATACCAATGATTAGTAATCAAGGAGACCGATAACCGATTATTTGGAACCGATATACATTTGCAGTAAAAAAAAATCTTGGTGTCAAATGACGAATATACACAAACTCCAACACCAACCATATTTGAAATGCATTTAAGCATAGCCTATATTATGTTTAACTTTTAAACATCTTACAACTGGTTTCCTCTCTGTGCCCTTTTCTTTAGTGCAGTCATCTGCAATGAGTTAGAGAGAGAGACAAGAAGTGGGGCTGCAGGCTGACATGCTTAACCAACAATAATGCTTAATTTATTAGATCTGTCTATCTAGCATACAATCCCAATAAGCTGCTAGCAACTGCAAAACACTAGTGCTAGCTAATGTTTTTGCAAACTATAAAAGCGAGGCTATCACAGTAGACCTAACGTTAGTCTAGTAGCCTCACTTTCTAATATTTTGCTAACATTTGCTAGATACATGTTGGCTAGCTATGAGCTTCACATATCAACCTGAAAAAACTGCAAGGCTCCACTCGCAGCCCCCCCCACCACAGTTACTCCGCTGCGAGACGCTGCACGCACCCCCAACTCTGGACTGACTGTAACTGGGAAACTGATAGAATTGGATCATAAGATCGTGGTGGTTTTTGCAACCTCAGCATAGGGGATAGGGATGTTTATTGAACTTCGGTTTTTAACACATGTATGGCTCTGCCGCTCAGCGCTGCTGCTTGCTTCAGTCTGTGTCTGCGTTCTTTCGCACCTGCCTGTAATCTGAGAAGGGTCCCGCCTCTCTGGCTGTCTCCCGCCCAGAACATCTTCAGTAATAGCCTATCAGATAGCGCTGTGGGCGTGACGTTGCTCGTGTGCACAGACTGGTGACTGCAGCCAGAGAAACGGCCGCATCAGAGCCAAAGCTTTATCGGCAATTTGATTAAAAAAAAGGCCGATACCGATAATCGGTTCAAATGCGGAATATCGGTCGACCCCTAGAATATATCAACAGTAAACCTAGGAGACACACTGACATTCAATATTATGTTAGAGACAAGTTAGTTATTACTCACATATCAAAGTCTTTTCATCTACAAGATGGAAGAATAGCTGGGTGCTGCCAGGACGAGGACTGATGAGAGGGACACAGGCTGGCGTTAGCAGCTTTCCACACAAAGCCATCACATCTTCTGTTCCATAGTCTTCACTGTCCACTGGTGCTCTGTCAAAAGAGTGAACCATCACAGCCGTCATGTTAACCCTTTGTTACACAACATACAACCAACATGCATCAAAAGTGACCCAAATTAGTTTTAAATTGTAAATATCTTTGCAATTAAATTACCTCCAGGTATTCCTCAATTAACCTGTTTTTGATCAACACCAATTTCATTTGAACTTTCTTACTTTTTTAAATAAAAATCATGTTTGTATCACTACACTTCTAAGGCACAACATGGGTAAAACATTATCCGTATTATTTCCGATGTTATTCCTAGTGTTTCTTTAAATACATTGTTTTTGATTACCACAAATCATTATATTAATTCTCCAGTTCTAATTGATTAACTAAAATAGTTTATGCCAAGTGTGATACAAATGCAAAAAAATAAAGATACTTTAATGATAATTTTGTTAAAAATAATAATTTTAGCAGTGATTTGGACCAGGCATGTATGATGTAGTAATAAAACAACTATTTTAGTTCACACAGTGTGACATTAGCTAGTCATGTTAGCTTGTAATATAGAGCAGAGCTAACTAGCAAGTTAGCAAACGTTAGTGGTTAGCAGTTTATGCTATGATAGCTGTTGGCTACTGTTAGAAATTAAAATCAATGTTTTGATGGCATAATGTACCCTAAATGTACCTTCAGTTTAAATGCTGTTTTATACTGAAAAACCAGAAAATTAAGTTAAGCTTTTATTCTGAAAATCCTTCATCTCCGGTTAGCATGTGGCTAGTTTACCATTTCTTATAGAGGTTAATTTAGTAGCGAAATGACATGGAGTGATGCACACCGAAACCTACTGATTTTAACACTGCAACTATAGACGTATTATTATTGCTGAATATGAAATGAAGGTATAGTTTATTTGAATAAAGTTATTGTTTACAGACGTGGGTAAGATGTGACAACTTCCGGAATGACCAGAAACCAAACCAGCCGTGAAGTATTTTCTGTATTTTTTAGAATATTAACTACAACGTTTAGAATGTGTTAAAGGAAAAGTGATGAAAGACAATATGAGGAGAAGAGTCGTGTTTAAGTATGTATTGAATGTACAATGCCTGAATCCTCTGTTTAAACGTAACAACGGACATTAAGATGTGGAGGGCCGGCCCGCAGGGAGGAGCCTGCAGAAGCTATATAAGAGCAGCACCTGAGCGGTTCGGCCTCTTTTCTCTGCTAGCGAGGGCCAGAGACAGCTGCTTTTCTGTCGGACAATATCCTGTTTGTGACTGTACCGCGCCTTTTATTAATTAAAGTACCAATTTGAAAACATCTCAGAGACTCCATTTAGTCTCCCTTTTAAACTTCTCTTTCCTGGACGCGAGAATAACCATCACAGTTAACACTACTGAACATTAACAAACTGGATTCCGCAGTAAAAAAGCTTCTGTGAAACTTTACAATAAGATTGGCGACAACACTGTGACACCCTGCTGCATGTTTATGTGTAATCGTCCCGCGTTGGAGACGAGAGGATGGCGGCAGCACTGCATTAAGCTGTAAGCTAACGTTAGCAGCCACCTTGTTAACCTGTATAGCCCGATTGTCCCGCCGGTGGGACATCTTGCAAGAAACAGCATCTCAGGACTTCTTAAAATGTACTAACAACCTATTAATGATGCTTACCCACTTAACGGGAATAAACTCAGCTAACTGACTATATTAACAATTTTTAACTAAACGAAACACAAGTCTAACAGCTAACGGAGCTAACGCTACTTTAGCACATAACTGGCAAAAGCGATCTTTTTTACTTCATGCTATCTGCACAAACGTATCATATAGAAAGCTGAGATTCCACAGATTTCCCTTAAAATATATGTCTCATCACTCAAAACTCACTGAACTAGAAGAAGAAACGTAACCTTAAATACACAATTAAACATTCAACAAACTAAGGATTATCTAAATACATGTTTAACTCCATTACAGTTGCAGGACTCACCAGATCTCAAGTCTTCTGTTCTCTGTGGACGTCCCCGATGCTCATATTTAAGGTGTAGATGTAAAACTATCCCAATATTAGTCCATAAACTCGTGAGCAGACATACAGACAGCTCTGTAGCTCCGCAGGAGAGCCGCTCAAAACTGACGTGGAAGTTTCAAATTGGATTGAAAGGCGCGGACAGTGCTCATTGGCAGGTTTTTTCGATGACGTTTATATCAACCAATCAGGAGTGTTGTGGACTCATTCCAATCCTGCTTGTCTTGTCTGCCGTTGTATGGCTGGATTTCCATTTCAAGCGCCGTAGCTTTTTACATACATTTTACGTTTTTTTTTATTTGACGGTTTTTTTTTACAGTTAACTATTTTTAGTATACTATGAAAACTACTTTATTTACACAAAATCATTTTTGGGTATTTCTGAAATATATTACATTTTTTGTGAAGATGTATACATTTATTAACATTTAGAGATGTTTTATAATAAGATTTATTTTTATCTACAACAGTACAGAATACAGTTATTTTTTGATTTTTTTTACATTTTGTTACATTAAATTTAAGGTTTTACTGCAACAAAAAAAAGAAAGTTGCCTTCATTTTACATGCAGTAAAATTATGTGTATTTTATGTGTTTTTACATAGAATTAAATGTAATTTAACATTCAAGACAATTAAACAATGGAATTATCCTGTAAAAAAACGATAATTTCTCATCAAACCAATTTACAGAATAAAACTTTATTTATTTTAAATAAAAGTAATTTACTGTATTTTTATGGTATTTTACACGTAATATAGAGAAAAACAAGAAAGGTCTGTAAAATAATACAGTACATTTCAGTGAAAAAACATTTTTTTTTACAGTGTGTGTGTGTGTGTGTGTGTGTGTGTTGTGTGTGTGTGTGTGTGTGTGTGTGTGTGTGTGTGTGTGTGTGTTTCAGAGGCTGCGTCAGGTGGTGTGTGGAGACGACGTAGAAGAAACGATGTCTCTGATCTGCTCAGGAGCAAAGGTTATTATCACACACACACACACACACACACACACACACACTGTAGTTACCACTTCCTGTTTATCTGAGTGCTGTTACCTGTGCAGGTGTGTCAAACCGACCTTCTTAGCCCCTCGCCCATCCTGCTGGCTGAGAGAGCCAATCAGGCTTTGCAGACCGAGCTGCTCCGCCTCAACGAGTACACAGGTAACACACACACACACACACACACACACACACACACACACCCACCTGTACAGACCTCTTTTCTTGACGTCTGTTTTTGTTCTCTCTCAGATATCCCGCCTTACCTGCCTCAAGTGGCCAATAGGAAACCTGACTCCGCCCCCTCAGGTAGGAAGAATCACCTGGACGAATATATAATGAGCACCATTTAGACAATGTAAAACAAATTGTGTGTGTGTGGTGTGTGGTGTGTGTGTGTGTGTGTGTGTGTGTGTGTGTGTGTGTGTGTGTGTGTGGTGTGTGTGTTGTGTGTGTGTGGTGTGTGTGTGTGTGTGTGTGTGTGTGTGTGTGGTGTGTGTGTGTGTGTGTGTGGTGTGTGTGTGTGTGTGTGGTGTGTGTTGTGTGTGTGCAGGTGAGGAGGAGGAGGAGGAGCTTCACGGTAAACTGGAGGAAGATCGTTTCCTCTTCTCGTTAGAAAACGACTCGGCGGCGTGCGACGTCCTCGACCTGCGGGAGGTCCTCTCTGTGTTCCTCAAGGAGGGGTGAGTGTGTACTACCTGTGAACTGTGTGTACTACCTGTGTACTGTGTGTATTATTTGTGTATTATGTATTTTACCTGTGTGGATAATGTGTGTACTTTGTGTGTACTGTGTGTACTACAGGCCTGCTCTCCAGTTTGAGATGGTGACTCTGAGCGATCAGCTGATCTGCGCCGCTGACAAACCAGGAGGCGCTGCTGAGTCACCTGGTGCACATCCTCAATGTATACCTGTGGTGTGTGTGTGTGTGTGTGTGTGTGTGGTGTGTGTGTGTGTGTGTGTGTGTGTGTGTGTGTGTGTGTGTGTGTGTGTGTGTGTGTGTGTGTGTGTGTGTGTTGTGTGTGTGTGTGTGTGTGTGTGTGTGTGTGTGTGTGTGTGGTAGTTATTGTAATAACCAGAATAAGGTTATTAATG